CTCGGCCAGCCTGTGCTGCACCACAGCCTTGCCCCCCCCTTCTAGAGTGAGGTGAGTCGAGATCGGATCTGCCAGGTTGAGAGAGGACGGCACCCACTCGAACTGAGGGACCCAAGACCTGACCGACGCCAGTGTCCAGAAAAACGTCAAAAGGTGATTGACATGCTGATCCCGGCCGAAGCCCTTCTCCAAGGCAGACAAGCCCGCTGCGTTATCAATCCAGGATATCCAGAAGTGAGGCAACTCTCGGACATGTATGACAAAGGCAAGCAGCTGCGCATAAATCTCCAGGAAATTGATGTAAGCACGCCTGGACGCGAAGCGTTTGAGGAGGTCAGCGGAGACAGTCCCATGCCCATATGTGACCACCGTGCCGATCCGCACGATGAAGCCCCATCCATTCGGACTGTGCAGCGCGGTTTCGCGGCTCCATGCCTCTGGGACGTCCGGATCAGACGGCCTCCATTTTGTGTCCCCCAGCTGGAAGTAAGCGTCTGTGTACACCGACGCTGTAACGCCTTGTGCCTGAAACGGCACAAAGCGCGGGCGCATATTCGCCAGAAGCACCAGTAATGCTCGCAAAGCTGCCGCAAGGCCCACATTCAGTTCCGCTGCTTCTCCAGCGGTGCTGCTTGCTCTAGCATGAACTGGCCTGAGGGCCGCTGCTCCAGTGCGTCCGAAAGCCGTACTGTTTACGAAGGCCATTTTCCCAGCCAGGCGTGCTGCTGCCTCTGGCTGCAGCTTTCCAGATTCCAGGGACTCGGTGATCATGTTTGAGAGCTTCTCGAGTCTGCGAGGCTCTGGGGCTACCTGGATCCCGTCGTGCATAACCTGAATCCTGACCCCTAGCAGGCTTTGTTCTGATGCTGGGGGCTGAGCTTTGGACAACTTAAGTCGAATACCCAAGAAAGCACAAAATTTGGAAAAGACATTGAAGGCACTCAAGGAGTCAGATGCGTCGTGGACTCCCCCCAGGTCATCCACGTAGTGCAGAATGACTATGAGTAGCAAGCATCTGCAAAGCCAGCAGATGGCGTCCGCTGTGCGGTTAAAATGCCACACTGATGCCGTGGAGCCGAATGGAAGCGCTCTATGGCGCCATAGCGTCGGCCCGGCCTCTGTCCAAGCAACAGATATGCGTGGGCCGGGTCCAGAACCGGGTACGCCCGGTATGCATCGGAGAAGTCGTGGCACCAAATCTCTGGCTGCATGCCCAGAGAATGCGCCCTCCGCAGGGCGCTGATGTAGACCTCAATGTCATCATGTTCTGGGCGGTCGCCCACTTGGATCGTAGAATTATGGAATGATCGGCGATAAGCTTCACAGCGCCTGATCTTCTGCCTGCCATCCGCTCCAGTCTGCGAAACACTAAAAGCCCGAGCAACGAAGCATTCTCCTTCCGGCAACGGAGTGAGCGGCAAGCCGTGCAACGCCACGCCAACCGTCAACTTGGGCCAGGTCTTTGGTGCAGTGAACGGGCCCTCCATCCTGCCTGCCTGGACTTCCTGAAGCACCTCTTCTAGCATGTGTCGCCAATGTGGGTCCAACCTGCCGTGTTGGTTCAACTGCCTGAACGACTCCACTGATATTGGACGGCTATAAGCGTCGTCCAACCTGGGTCGCCATCCTGGCGTGTGCCTGAGCTCCCCTAGGAGTGGAAAACCAGTACGGAAGTCCTCTGCCAGTGCCGGCACATCCGGATACCCGCACTCACGGAGCAGCGACAAAAATGCAAGGACCTCGAATCTGGGCTGTCCCACTGGATGCAGAGTCCTGGCCACGTGGTGCGGCACGCTTGCGTACCAGCTGTCTGTGTCCTGGCGCAGCTCCGCTACTAAAGACTGGATCTCAGACAACATGCGACTGGAAACAATGTTCAACACAACCTCGAGACCAGGTTCAAGCGGCAAAGGCTGAAGTGCAACAGGCTGCAACTGCGCGCTGAAATCCCAGTGGGGAACCCCAGAGCCCACCGGCGTTTTGACCCTGGTGATCGGAAAATGCCACTCTCTGACACATGCAAAGGCTTCTTTGACGCAGCTGGACTGGCTCGGGTCTGACGGCTGGTCGCCCGGCTCCTGAACTACAAACATGCCGTGCTCCAACACGATCTGGAAAAGAAAGGCTGCCACGCCCTTGTGCCAGGAGTTCCCCAACAAGCGGTGTCGATCGCGGTCACTGCAAAGGTCGTGCTTCGTGAAGTCCACCGGCAGATGATGAGCCTGCTCCTTCAAGAACGGGGGCGCCACCTCCAGCTTTCCTTGGGGCGATCGCAGCATCACGGCCTCTTGGTAGTGCACGGCGCAAAGGTCCTGGAATCATCCAGCCAGCGCTGACGGGTAGCGGAGTCGATGTGGGTCTTCATCCGCTTCGGCGCGCTCCGACCGGATTCGGTCGGAGCAGGAGTGGTAAAACATGGCAGGAGCTGCAAGCCTGCCACGACCTCCTTTCCAAAGGAGTATCCCCACATGTCCAGCTTCTGCAAGTCATCGCGTAGTGCTGCGACATGTATGCGGTGGATCTTGCCGCTGCGAGACCACTTGTAGTCCGTGCATTTGGACCAATCCACTCGGGTCCACCACAGTCTGGGCCTGGAGACGAGCCCAAAATCGGCCGCGTCCGCGAGCACGGCCTGCGGTTTGAGTTTTGCATTGAAGTAGTTGATGTCGCTTCCCCGGATGCCCGAGGGCCTGTCCGTTTGGCGGCTGCCGCTGGCGCTGCCGACTCTCTCTCAGCAGGCTTGTGCCCCGGCTGCGCTTTGGCGGGTCTCCCGAAACTGGGGAGGGGTCCCCTCGCAACTTCACTCTTTGGCGGCGTGGGGCTTCTCTGCCCCATGCCCTTCCTTGGACGCCCAGCTCTGGCGATGGTGGGGCTGCCACTGCTTCCAGTCGTCTTGGCCCCAATAGCGCTGCTTCCCATAGGCAGTGGAGGAATCATGCTGCCGGCCCTTTCCGCCGCCTTTGCCGCCTTTGCCCTTGCGCTGCTGCTTCTCCGCCTCCCATGGCCTCTTCTTTCCCCGGCTTGTCCGGCTCGTGCAAATCCTTGGCCATGGTCTCCTGCCACAGGATCGTGTGGCCGATGATTTCGTCGCGGCCGCCTTGAACGCCACGCCCCGCCGCATGGTCTGGGCCAGTCGCCAAGAAACTGTCTCATAATTACTGCGCCAGCTTTTGGGGCATGCTGCGGGCTTTGCGTTCCAGGACGTCGAAGAAAGCATGCACATCCTGCTCGTCGCCCATCTGCAAGAGCACGAACAGGTACCTGATGCTTTGCAGTCCATCCAAGATGGAGAGCATGGATCTGGGGTCCCACGCATCCTCGGCAGCCTCAGCCTGGAATTCTCCCTCAGGTGTCACCTTCACAGGGGGTTGGCGGCGAAAGCGCGGGACTGAATCACGGCTCCCAATGGGATCGGAGAATACGACTTGGAATGCTCATGCTCAAACTGGGCTGGCCACTATGGCCTCTGCCCCCAAAAGCAGGGCCTCAGGGAGGCTCTGTCGCGCCCTCCTATCTGCTGCTGATTGTATCGAGCCACCAGCTTCCATTCCCCTGGCGTCAGGTCAGTAGGTGCCTTGACCAAAGCTCTAAGTACAGAAGCGTAGCCTTCCCGATGGGCCACTCCTCCGCCGTCAGGCGGAAAGTCTCGGAAGCCCCCTGCCACCCAGAGGAGAGTGGGTCCACAATCGCCTGCACAAAGGCTGCTTGATCAGAGGCGATCAGTGCAATGGCCCCGATACTGCGAAGGCCGCGCTCCGTCAAGTACCGAGCACACAAGTCGGACACCCCGGCTTTCGCCACCAGAGCAGGCAAGTCAAGAGCCCTGCTGGTCACGGTCATGCTTCGGCGTGAGGCAGGACAAGTCACTGTGCTAGAGCCATGCAACAGAACTCACGCGTCTGTGGTGTCACGCGCAGACAATTAAGGTCGCCCAAGCACATGCCCAATCACTGGCAGAAGCACTCTGGATTTTTCCTGGGACCCGCACTTCACTCTGTGTCGCCTTGCTCCGTCCGACCTGCGGTCGCTGGCGACTACGTGCGTCCTCACGCGAACACACCGACTTGAGGCTGCGGCCTCCTGCGCAGCCGAAGCCGCCTGCTCACGCGCGGTCGACAAAAACTACGGGTCAGCCTCTTGGACCCAGCACCTAAGCCCCGCGCTCAGTCCTTCTGCGTCAGTCCATGTGGGCGAACTCTACCTAGAGAAAGGCAATTAGGGCTACAGGGCGGTGAGGCCCCTTAACTAATGCAACGACCCAGCCTCCACGTGTTCCGGGGCGCCGAAGATGAAGAGGACGGAGATGATTCCTGGCAAGCAAGCTGGGCTATGTCTAGGGTACTTTAAGGAGAAGAGGGGGTACCCTAGCAGCGCACGGCCGGCACTCCGTGTGCCATCTTTTCCTCACAGCTTCCCTGCTCGAGCCCTCGCTCGGGTCTCTGGCAAAAGGACTCGGCCCTCTCGGCACGGTCGCCACCCCGAGCCCAGAAACTCCAGGGCGGCTGCAAAAGAGGTTGGGAGCCTAAGCGTTCTGGAGCTTCACGAGCTGGACTCTGCTGCTGCTCGTAGAGGAGCTGGACGGGGAGCGTGCCGCGTCCGGAAAGCAGCGCTTGCAGCGCCTCAACTCTGGGCCCAGGCTGTCCGCCTGGGTGCGATAATAGCCGCTCCAACCATAACCCCAGCCGCACACGGTGCGCCAGCGGTGTACCTCGTTGTGCGCCTCGGCACACCGATTGCGTGAGCCACCCGTCTGCGAGGCTGCGCGATCAAATTCTCCTGCACTGGCGGTATGGCCTTGGCAATCTCGGCCCTGATCTGGTCCATGGTGATGCCTGTAATGGGGTGAGGCATCGTAGTGGAGCGAGCTGCACGTCGCGGTCTATCGACCTGGAACACCAGCGTCCTTGCAACTGAATCTGCGCCAGAGGCACGTTCAAAGGCTGCGAGATACTGAGTCCCGCTGACTCGCAACACGTGGCCGCCAAAGCGCGGGACTTGACGTCCCGCTTCGTCTGCCCGCGTGGTCTCAACGGAAGCTGCCTGCAAGACCCGCTCGATGAGCTGGACGACCTGGAACTTCTTCATGGGCTGTCCGTCGTGGCCAGGGAACAAGTAGTTCTCCGCAGAGTTCTCCACCCCCGCCAGGCGAAGCCTCTCCAAATGTCTTCTGGCACAATGAAAAGGACACAAAGGCTCCTGTCGCGCGCGGCAGACACAGACATAAGACCTGAGCGTCAAGTTGCCCTGGGACTCTGTCTTGGTGACTGGCAAAAGGAGGTTCACGGTGTCAGGGTCGGAGAGGTAGAGGTGATGGGCCCGTGCGTTCGAGATCTCGATCTCCCTCACAGCATATACCAAGCGCATATGATGCACAGGTCCACGGCCGCCGCCATATCCCTTTCGTCAAAGGCTCTGAGAGCTTCCTCCAGCTTGACTATAGGGCTCTGAGCACCTCAGTCGAAGGCATCCTTCAGCCGAGCCGGCCCTAGACCTCGCCAAATGGCCCGCACCGTGTCCCTGATGATGAAGCGGGTTTCCTCGCCGATGGGCAGCGCCAGGGTTCTAAGCTGGTGCGACGTCGCAGCAGAGAAGTACAAGGAGCAGGAATGGTAGCCCCCTGCCCGCAAGGAGGCACCCACACAGCGCACAAGGTCTGGACTCACTGGAAAGGGAGGCCTCTCCCAAGCCGCGCTCAATTCCCTCCAAGCCCGCAGCCTGCTCTCGACGGAGGGCTTGGTAGTGGCCGCCAAGACGGCTGCCTGCAATGCTTCAAGAGACGCCTGGCGGTTTTCCGGCAGAGCCGCCTCCAGCGCCGCTGTCCAGGATGCTTTCTGCCTGACCTCCGCCACTGGGTGGTCAGGCCTGCCCGGCGGCAGAGCCAGCGCTGTCTCCAGCCTCCCCCTCACGATGGCTTCAAGCTTCCAGGACTCCACGCCGCTGAGCAGGAGGGCCCCTGCATTAGGCATGATGTCTTTGACCTCCCGCACACCATGTTCGAACAAAACTGGGGCCAAATCCTGAAGGCCCGTGGTGCGCAACCTGTCCCACAACTCTTGAGCCATGACTGCTTCGCTAGGTACACAACCCGGCTGAGGGCAGCAACCAGACTGGCTGAAGCTAGAGCAGGGAATCATGGCGGCAAGACCTGGCACTCCACAGTGAGCTGTCAGGCGCACCACCGCGATGGCTGTCGGTCCTAGGGGCCTAGCAAGCGCCTGAAGCCGAGGCAGGGCTGTCAAGATGACCTCCAAGTCAGAAGGGCAAGCTCTACCCCAATCCCTGGCACCCTCGAGTCCATGCATCCCAGCCCCTAGTATTGCCGTGGCAACCGGCCCCTCCTCCTGCAGCTTAAGTCCTGCGAGCAGATCAAGAAGAGGCCGCAAGAGACGGCAGTCGCGTGGGCAGACTGCCGCATCCAACTCAATGATGGCGTGCCTGGACCCCTCAAACAAGCGGTCGTAGACCTGTTCGGGCGCCATCATCCAGACATCAGCCCAAGCACAAAGGGCCCCATAAGCGAAGGCCATATCCAAACAAGAGGCACCGGCCATGGCTTTAGGCCTCTAATCAAAAGCTGAAGCTCGGGCCCTGGCTGCAGTGCCCTACGCTTCACATGTCACTCAGCACATACTGTGCTCCACTACAACTTGCACCCACGGTTGGGGGGGGGGAAGCTTAGAAACAGGGCGCAAACTGGCGCATGCATTTTTTCATGAAGCAGCGGAGCGCGACCGGCCTCCGCGTGCCCAAGAACGGCTTCCAACGTGCCAAAAAAGCTGCGGCCTAGCATCCAAAACAAAACAGCCTCCACGGCCCCCGAAACGGCATTAGAACAGACCCCTCGTTCATGGCCATTTTCGAGGCCCACGCGCTGGCCTCCCGAAAACCCTCCCGCCGTGGGGTCTGGCCCACAAAATATGGCCAAATTTGACCATTTTCGGGGTTTCCCCTCCCCCACACCCCCTTAGCACAACTTAGACGAAAGCTTCGGGAAGCTTTCCTAATTACTAGGGCAATTATAGATGACCAAAAATTTAATAGTATTCTTAGTATTGTTGGAGAGGCGGATGTCACTAGTTGGGGACGCTTTATTTTTCAGAACAGCAATGAACTTACAGAAGTAATGTTCACCTCATATTAATAAACCTCCGCATAATTGCAAAATCCAAATCCCGGAACGTAATTACAAACCCCCCCCCTGTCATTGCAAAATCCAACCTGCCAAAACTCAAAAAATCTGGTAGCGCTCGAAGAGTACTGTGTTGCCCAAGGTTAGGAAAACGCTACGACGACTGGAGTTCCAGCTTATGGTCCCGGACTCCCTTAATTACGGAGGCTCGGGTTCACATCCTCGGGGGGGTGGGGGGGGGGTTCTTATTATGAGGTTAACATTATTGGACACACCGTGTAAACTACTTATCAGAAACAGAACCATCAACACCAAAGATTAAAGTAACGGACGGACAGGTTAATTCATTAGAACTGTAGACGTTATGCATGCGGATTTATCAGTTCGTCAAATAGTCAAGATGGATGATCCAGACAGCGACGGACAAATGGTATGTCAACTAGTATTGCCAATAAGTTAGGCATGACATCCGTTGGTGATGTTCACGGTTTAGCATCAACAGGAGCAGTGACATTTACAGGAACTAGAACATGTAGTGTAATGTGGAAAAATCATGCCCGACCATCGTATGGGCTGTTTCCAAAATGCTTGTTCCTGCGAAAATGCGTTTTCCCTGCGGGGTTTGCACATGTTTGCACAAAGCTTGAAGCGCGGAGCTTGCCTTGCCTGCTCAGCCACTCTCCGACGTGTCGGAGCTCGTGCTTGACCCGCTGCTACTTGTGCTAGACTGCTGGCGTTCGCGCAGCTTGGATCGCCTGTAATTCGCCTCGCACCCTCTGTCGCGCAGCCGCTATCTCATGGGGCGTCAACATGTCATGGAAAGCATTTGGACGTTGGAAAAGGTTAGTCTCAGCTGCAGAACTTCCATGAAAAACATGAAAACCAAGAGTTCAAAACTCTCGTACATCAAGTGTCTTCTGCGCAGGGACTGGGCTTAGGCTTGTAAATGGCCGTTGCATTACAGTTTTGCTAGCACCGTGCTAGCGCCATGCCAACGCGGCAAGCTGCCTAAAATTACCCCAAAAATCTCTGCCGTCCACATGTCATCGATCCTGCCATGTCCAAACTTCCAATAACCTTCCGCATTCCTTCCGAAATCTCGATCTGCATTACTTAAACCTTGCATTCCCTTTTCCATTACCCCTTTGTACCACTTCCAAAAATCATTCTTGTGGGCTTCATCCAAAGCCTAACCAACCCTAGTTGCCATGCACTGATGCAGAACGGGGGGACTCAATAGAGGTGGCAGTCATTTTATGGGATTTCTACTCCCTTGTCCGCCGACCCCTGAGGCAGGCGCCCAGCAGGTTCCCTTGGCTCCCTCACCATCTCCCCGCATTTGTACTTCCTTTTTTATCTACCTTTCTGCCCCCCCACATCACGCGCATCCTGGTGTCCCCACACTCGCCACTCCCCTTTTTCTAGCCCAGGTCCACCCACCCAACCATAGGTTTTTAAGGCCGCACATCTTGTCAACCCTCCACTTCACTCCTTCTCTCTGGCGCCCCCGCCTCCCTGTCCCACCCCCCAACGCCTCCCCCCACCCCCCCCCCCGTCACCAGCGAAATCAGACCAGTTGTTAGGTTTCAAGGCGGCCCAGTGCTCGCCCTCCAGCCCACCCTAGTGTTCAGATCCAAAAACATCCCTGCCTCCCGCAATGAGTGGAACCGGTGCACCCTTCCCGCCCCCACGCCTAGTTTTTAAGGGGAGC